AATACCTAAGAAGAAAGTGGTGGAATCCCCTGTGGACTTCAGGCCTATAAGCTTATGTAGAGTCCTCTACAAGATCCTTTCTAAGGTACTGGCGAACAGGCTAAAAGGGGTTCTAAATGAAGTGATCTCGGAATTCCAAAGTGCTTTTGTCCCTGGCCGATTGATTACAGATAATGTGATGGTGGCATTCGAGTGTTTTCACTCGATGAAAGGAAGAATAAGAGGAAAAAAAGGTTTTATGTCAGCCAAGCTTGATATTTCCAAAGCTTACGACAGGGTAGAATGGAATTTCTTAGAGGCAGTAATGAAGAAATTGGGCTTTCATGAGAGATGGGTGGCAATGATTATGCACTGTGTCACTACTGTGTCCTACTCGATCCTAGTTAATGGTCACCAAACGGAAACTTTCTTCCCTACCAGAGGAATCAGACAGGGTGACCCCATCTCACCCTATCTGTTCCTCTTTGTCGCAGAAGGACTTTCAGCACTATTGACAAAAGCGGATAGAGACAAGAAGATAGAAGGAATTAAAGTCAAGGGTGGAGCACCAGTGATCAATCACTTGTTATTCGCGGATGATAGCATTTTATTCTCTAAGGCTACCAAGGAAGAGTGTGAGCAAATCAGAACCATCCTAAACCTCTATGAACAAGAAACGGGACAACAGATTAACCTAGTCAAATCTGAGCTCTCGTTCACTCCAAATTAAATGTTAAAGAGGATAAGAGGCAGGAACTTGGAGCAATTATGGGAATGAAAATGGTGGATTACCACTCAAAATACCTTGGACTACCAACTGTAGTGGGCAGACAGAAGAAGGCTGTGTTCAGCTACTTGGTTGATCGTGTAAGAAAGAAAGTTAAGCTATGGAAAAGCCGATTACTATCTTATGGGGGGAAAGAAGTACTCATTAAGGCTAAGGCTCAAGCCCAAATGAATTATGCTATCCAGGTCTTCCTGGTTCCTATCACAGTCATTAATGAAATTCAGAGCTTGATTTCGAACTTTTGGTGGGGGCAGCGGAATGAGAAGAACAAAACACACTGGGTGGGATGGAAGGAGCTATGCAAACCTAAGGAGAAGGGAGGATTAGGGCTCAGAAGCTTACATGAGTTCAATCTAGCTCTCCTAGGGAAGCAGTTATGGAATCTAATTCAAAAGCCTAACTCTCTGCTGGCGAGAATCTTTAAAGCTAAGTATTATCTCAATTGCGATGTTCTGGAAGCTGAACCGGGTTACAATCCCAGTTATGTTTGGAGAAGTGTGTTAGCCTCACAAAGGATTTTAAAGGAAGGGTTGCGATGGAGGGTAGGAAATGGATACAAGATTGACATTTGGCAAGATAAGTGGATTCCATCCATTCCTTCCCACAAAGTGGAGTCCCCTATATCCCCTTTTGCTCCTACTACTTCGGTTTGTGAACTAATGGACCTAGATGATAGAACCTGGAACTATTCACTGCTTCAACACCATTTTAATCCTACTGATCGGCAGCACATTCTGAAGATCCCTATCCCTAGGCAACCTGCTGAAGACATAAGAATCTGGTGTCATGAGAAGACAGGCATCTACACGGTTCGATCAGCCTACCATTTTTGGATGGAAAAGAAGGAACAAGCACTGAGAGGTTTATATCCCAATAAATTGGAAACAGATCTGGAAACTACCCATACCTCCTAAAGTAAGGGTGTTTGCGTGGAGATGGATCAAGAACATCCTACCTACAGGAGCTCATGTTCTGGACAGAATCAAGAAAGGTTGCGATGAGTGCCCCTTCTGTGGTCTAAAGGAAACGCAGGCACATCTATTTCAAGAATGTAGGTGGGTTCGACGGGTTTGGGGACCTAGTACCCTAAAGTCTTTATTCGAGAAAGGAAATGAGCTTACTTGTGAGCAATGGATGGTCAAGATCCAAGAATCGACCCCTGGGGATCAAATTGGTCATTTCCTTGTGGCTCTCTGGTTCATCTGGGAAGAGAGAAACTGTCAGATGTGGAATAAACGTAAATCGGAAGAATTTGAGATCATGGGTAAAGCGGAGAGGGCTTACTGAGTACATGGAGCACCAAAAGGTGGAACGCGGCGAACAGGGCAAGAAGGATTACCACTGGGAACCCCCACAATCGGCTGATTTCAAGGTGAATGTCGATGCGGCTTGCTTCGCAGATCAGGGCTTGGGTTTTGGAATGGTCATCCGCGACAAGAGCAAAGCGTTCTGCTTCGCTGCGGTGCGACGGTGCCGAACCCAGTGGCCTCCAGATCTGGCTGAATGCTTGGCAATCATATGGGGATTGGATATGGCTGTGGAGAATGGTTTCGGAAGGTGTGAAATGGAAACAGATTGCCTGGGAATTGTTCATCTGTTGAATAGAGAGGAAATGGTAACGAACGAGTTGGGCGTCGCATGCGAAGAACTTCGAGATCGGTTGAAAGAAGTGGGCTCAGTTAGAGTACGTTTTTCGGGCCGGTCAAGTAATCAGGCCGCCCATTTAATGGCCCACACTCTTTATGATTGGGATAACACTGAATGTTGGGCTTCAAGGCCCCCCAATTTTCTTATTTCTCAGCTTAATGCTGACTTCTGTACTATTTCTACTAGTTAAATGAAATAATACAGGTATTATTATTAAAAAAAAGAGTGGTACTAAATACAAAAAAAAAAAAAACATGCCTGTGAACCAAGTTGATCCAAATTCATCTCTAGGAGGATCCAATTATAAGCTATAACACATACTATGACTTTTATACACCCGACTTGTAATCTTTGAAGTTTGATGTATTATTTAGTTTGAGTGAGTTGCTTTTAAGTATTTTCAATTCTTTCTTATAGTGTGTTGCTAAGAGTATTTTGAATTTACTCTTAATGTACGATCTACTTTGATTTCTTTTCTTCAATTATTAGTAATTATAAATTGGATTAATATCTTAAAATGACTCAAACTTTATTATAAATGGCTATCCTGACCAATCTCTTAGAAATGCCTATTCTAGTCTGAACTATTTAGTCTAAACCAAGACTTGATCATTATACACTTATACTGGACAATCAACACCAGCGACTAACGATCAACAAGAACAAGTCATGTCACTGTCAAGTCATCACAAAGAAATATAAAACATTCCTAAATTTCACATATAATTAAATTAAAAATTATATATATAAACAAAAAAATCCAAAATATGCGAAATAAAATAATTAACTTAGTGACCAAATTAGCCATTTACCCTAAATTCCTAGGATGTGAAATATACCGTCTCTCTCCCATAGACATAGCCGTAGCCCACATGCCTTAACTGGGCTGGAGCTGGAGCTGGGCTTTTCGAGAAGGTATCTATACTCAAACCCGCAGTGAATTGGGCCGAACTGACTAGCCCAAATGTACATATAACTAACTGTGGTTTAACTATTGATTATGTCATTTGGTTAAAGTGGTCCTCAAAAGTCAAATCAGTCATTTTCTATAATCCTCCTGAAATTACGGGATGAGATAGCATGCCTACCCATAAAAGGGTTGGCAAAATGACAACCCCTATTAATTATAGGTTTTTAAGGTAATTAATTTGTGTTGTATTTAATAATATGTATGAATTAAAAACACATATTAATTACTTTCTTTTTTTCAGTGCACTGGTAGTTGTATCAGTGCACTGGTAGTTTTGTACAGGTGCAATGGTAGATGTATCACTGCAATAGTAGTTCCAAAAAAGGAACGTAATTAATATGAGTTCAGTATACCAGTGCACTGATACAACTACCAGTGCACTGAAAAAGGAAAGTAATTAATATGTGTTTTTAATTCATACTGATTATTAAATGCAACACAAATTAATTACCTTAAAAATCTATAATTAATAGGGGTTGTCATTTTGCCAACCCATACAAGGATGCTAACCGATCCCTGAAATTACTTGAACCACGAATAGCTCCAAATCCCAGGCCCACCGCCACCGAACCAGAATCTGAGACAAGGATATAGTTGCTGTCAAGAGAATAACAGCGGACAGTAGCATTAAATTAATGATCAAATCAAACCTCATTGTTTGTTTGTTAATATAAGGCAGTAGAACAGAAAGTAACGATCTTAAGTTCTTAACCACATAAATCGCTATCAAATCCCGAACAGGAAACACTTATTTCACAAATCTCCTTGGCCTTCCTCAACCGGAAGGTGGAGGGACCAATCCGCCATCGCAACGTCGAGGGACCGCAAAAGTTTTGTGGGTATCTAAATCGTCACTAAACTTCAGGGTGAGAAAAGGAAAGTGTTACTTATAGGGTCAATAACATTGTAGTCCCTATATTATTATTTTCTTTAACAAACAAATATTTATTGAATGCTTATATATAAAAGCGTTATTCTACTTTTTTGTTGATTTTGAGTCAATTGAGTAAGAATTGTCTAAATCCATTACTATGGAGGTTGACTCATACTTAGTAAGCACATCCATTCTTTATGACCTAGATGTGAAATGTGTTGAAACTCTGCGATTGTTAGTTGATTCCACTTGCAAATTTCCTACTCCTTTCTTGTTTTTATGATACACTTGCTCCTTTTATATTTACGATGGATATTCGAGGGACAAAAGACAAAATTTTAATTATTATGCCTTCATCAGCCCAATTGGTAATAGAAGCAGCATCTTTCGCGTCATGAATAAGTTGTAGTGTAGCCCTAGGTTCAATCCTGCACATCTATATTGACCTCTCGCGAAGACGCAAAGGTTTACAGTTCTCTCTTTCTGTACACCCTTGGCCAAGAAGATTCTTTATGGTGATCCCGATGAAGATTAGAGTTCTTATTCTTTCTTTGCCCTATCCACCATACATTCTATTCTATGTACTAGCGTAATGCTTTCTTGCAATCTCTCCTTGTGAGTTTGAAGGGAATTTGCAAATAATGGACTTAAAACTATAGTATGTGTACGTATTTGTAAAAATCAAAGTATAGGGACTTGCTTGCTTAGCCGTTTTTCTCTATCCACGGAAAGACCGTGTCGCGGACTCCGCGCGTCAGCTCAGGAAATCTCAACCGGTTCGTTGAATAATCCAGGAAATATAGTTTAATAATTTAATTCAATTTCTCATTTAATTTTAATTCCGGACAATTTGCGCCACGTTTCTCTGATTATTACACTTCCCATGACTTTAAATTCCGGATAAAGAGGACAAAAACAAAAACAAAAAAACTGGGAGATAAAGGAAGGGAGAAATCGACGGCAAAAACTAGGTTCCTTTATACCTGGGCAGGCATTTGAAAGAATTACGGCGACTGTTCGCTTTTGCTTCAAGCAGCGCCAAGTGTCTCTCTCCCGGCGGCCGGCGGCAGTTCTACCGTGATTCCTGCCCGGCAAAATGGGTATCATCAGCACAATAATGGGTTTCTTCGGATTCGGAGTTGGGACGTCGATCGGTTGCGTAATTGGCTACTACATGTTCATCTACTTCCAGCCCTCCGATGTCAAGGTTAACTCAGCTTCGCGTTGCTTTGCTGGGACATATCTCTCCTTCTGCAAACTTTAGCTTGAGCATTTGTTGAGTAGCAGATTCGCGCTTCGAATCTTTTCAGTTTTTGCTCCAATGGGAGCAAGTTGGGAAGTCCCGAGATCTTGATCTTTCTGTGTGGCATTTTTTTCAATTTCTGCAGGATCCAGTAGTTCGTCCTCTGGTTGAGCAAGACTCGGAGACTTTGCAGCGGATGTTTCCAGAAATACCCTTGTGGGTGAAGAATCCGGACTACGACAGAGTAAGTGTCTGGTTTCTGCTTCTTGATACTTGAATGTTTGTATGATGAATCGGAAGATAGGGTTTTCTTGAATTCCTTGAACAAGCTTTTCTGATGATTCATTTTCTGTTTTGGGGGGATGAAGGTTGACTGGCTGAACAAGTTCATTGCACACATGTGGCCTTACTTGGATAAGGTATGGGATTTCTAGCATGGATATTTGGATGCAATCCTTTGGACTTTTGCCTCTCTTTCTGTGCTTATGTATTAATGATTTATGGTTTATCTAGGCAATTTGTAAGACTGCTAAGACTATAGCAAAGCCGATTATTGCTGAGCAAATCCCCAAGTATAAAATAGATTCGGTTGAATTCGAAGCGCTTACGTTGGGCACATTACCTCCAACCATTCAAGGTAATGTTCTTCTTTCCGTTTGTTGTGTATCTACTTCACTTATAGGGTGTAGAAAGTCGCAGAGTTATATAGTCAAAGAACGCTGAAATGTTTCTTGCAATCATGATTTAGTCCAGTATGGATGATAGATGCACTAAGTTTGCCTTACTGTCCCAAAAAAAAAAAAAAAAGATTCAAATCATATTGTGTAGGCAAAAGACAGCCTTGCTGCATCCCTTATTTCATTTCTTAATTTGATAGACTGTTAGCTAAGATGGTGGCAGACATTGCTGCTGTTAACTCTAAACTTCTCCCTTCATGTTGTATGTGTTTGGGGAAAATCCATTATGGAGGCGCTTATTCATTGATTTGTCATCATCCAGGAATGAAAGTTTATGTAACGGATGAGAAGGAGTTGATTATGGAGCCTGTTTTGAAGTGGGCTGGGAATCCTAACATCACAGTTGGGGTCAAAGCATTTGGCTTGAAAGCAACAGTCCAGGTATGTGAACTGGCTAGTTGGGACCTTGCATTTTGCAATTAACTGTTAGGAGATAGCTTATCCTCCCAGTTCCTATTAGGACTGAACCTTTGTGTCTGTCTGTGTGTTTCAGGTTATTGATTTGCAATTTTTCGCTTCTCCAAGAGTCACACTTAAGCCCTTGGTCCCTACTTTCCCCTGCTTCGCCAATATTTTTGTGTCTCTCATGGAAAAGGTACTCTAAATTGGTTTACCGGGTACTAAGGGCGAGAATTCAATTTCGCTCTCGTACTCACTTTCCTTACCGGCTGGTATCCATTCTCCTTTGCTGCAGCCACATGTCGACTTCGGACTGAAATTGCTTGGAGCAGACGTCATGTCCATTCCTGGACTTTACAGATTTGTTCAGGTAATACATTCTGTTAAAATAGTTTTGAAAAAAGATGCTGTGATAAAAGTGCTTGTTCTTGTTAGTTGGCATCTGATCTTTCACCGTTTCCTCATCCAGGATCTTATCAAAGAGCAAGTTGCAATTATGTACTTATGGCCAAAAACCCTGGTTGTACCAATTTTGGATCCTTCAAAGTAAGTGGCCTGATCTGTCGCATGATTGAATTATTTGTCGTTTGCTGTGTCACTAACTAATCCCCTGCTAATTCTACCTAAAAACTACAGGGCCATGAGGAAACCTGTTGGGATTCTTACCGTGAAGGTTGTACGTGCAATTAAACTTAAAAAGAAAGATTTGTTGGGAGCATCAGACCCTTATGTAAAGCTGAAGCTCACTGAAGATAAGCTGCCTTCAAAGAAAACTACAGTCAGACACAAGAACTTGAACCCCGAGTGGAATGAGGAATTTCATCTGGTTGTGAAAGACCCCGAATCACAAGCTTTGGAGCTTCTCGTGTATGACTGGGAACAGGTATGCTACTTCAAATCCCTTGTACTAACCCAGAATTCGAACCCTTAGTTGTTCAAATCCTGATATAGTTCTTAAAATCTTATGATGCTAAAGAGACGACTTCTTGGATCTTACCATAAAATCAGTGAACACAAATTCTTAAGATATTATGATTTTCCCACAAGAAGTTGCTATTTTACTTCTGAAATCATACTCTCTTTTCTTTCTTTTTATTTGCCATCTTATGGTTCTGGTTAAGAGATTGAATTGCGTATATTCAAGTCATATTATTTTCATGATACAGCCACGTGTAATCCTGTATTACTTAATATTATGCTTAATGTCATGTTTGATAAAATTATTCTGCTATTGTACATTACACCCCGGGGGAATTGTGATAGAGATCGGAGTTTCTATGTGTATGGAACAGGGATAGATAAACAGAATTGAGAGATTTCATGAGATAGAATTAGAGAATTGGGGATTAGGGATTTGAATAAGAAATTGGGCAGAATTGGAGAGAATGGCCAGCGGCCTTAGGGAGAGGAGAGTCAAGATTTAGAGGATTGGAAGAATAGGGGTTGAAGATATGTTTCTTATTATTATGCTTAATGATCGTGGTTCGTGAAGCAATAACAATGTACATATTTATATGAAAATAACCAAAACCCTAAACCTAACTAATAACTTAACAACCAAGTAATGAATGACTCCTACGAATTCCCCACCCCACCTTTAGACTCCTGTGGCAGCACCCGTTTCCTTAGCCCATTATAATAATACCCATAGAAGCAGGTTTGTACCAAATTGATTGGACCATTGAGTTATATCCCAATTGTTTATCAGTTTTCCCACTATTCCTGCAACTGATTATGATGTGATGATTTCTAGTTTACGCTTGGTTTCCAAACCTGATTTCTAAACCTGTACTCCTATTACTATCTACTCAGGTGGGTAAGCATGACAAAATGGGAATGAATGTTGTGCCATTGAAAGACCTTACACCCGAAGAATCAAAAGTCATGACACTCGAACTGCTGAAAAATATGGACCTAAACGATGTTCAGAACGAGAAATCGCGTGGTCAACTTGTCGTTGAACTGCTGTACAAACCGTTCAAGGAAGATGAGATGCCAAACGCTGTTGAAGAGTCGGATGGTGTAGAGAAAGCTCCCGAGGGAACGCCCACTGGTGGAGGCTTGCTCGTGGTCATTATACATGAAGCACAAGACGTCGAAGGGAAGAACCACACAAATCCTTATGCTAAGATTACTTTCAGGGGAGAGGAGAGAAAAACTAAGGTACGTACGTGTAAATGACTTATCAGCTACCTGGTATGCATTTTGGATCCCAATAACCGGACATGGTTCTGCTTGCAGTATGTGAAGAAAAACCGAGATCCGAGATGGGAAGAGGAGTTTCAGTTTACGCTGGAAGAACCGCCGACAAATGAGAAGCTTCATGTGGAAGTTGCTAGCGTCTCGTCCAGAATTGGTCTATTACACCCTAAGGTACTCTTCTGTTTGATTCCATATTGCTGGCTTCGAATCCAACAGTTCGTTATAAATCAATTTCATGAAAACTAGAATCAAGTTCTTCCTAATGAAATTTAGTCTCCGTTGTTTCATACATTGATTCCAAACAAGTTTGTAAGTAGTGTTGGATTCCTTTGAGTTGATGCTTACATTCGTTATCATTTGTCGAAATTTGGAGCACAGGAAGTTCTGGGTTACGTGACCATAAATCTGGCGGATGTGGTATCGAACAAGAGAATCAACCAGAAGTACAATCTCATCGACTCGAGGCATGGCAAGATCCAAATCGAGCTGCAATGGCGAACATCTTCGTGATTTGGTGTGGGTTTTTCGAGAACTTTCTCATGCTGGAATTTGTTGGGTGGTGGTATGGACTATGGAGGGATTGTTAGTGAAGTTTTTGCTAATAATCGAGACCCTGTAACTTAGCTGGAACACAGGAACCTTTGTACATCTTTTGACTCACCATTTTGGAAGTCCTTGAATAGAACGTCCAGCAGTTTCCCTCTCAGTAGTCCAAATACACTTTCCATTCGGTTCTGGACCGGATCCTGGGCAGCACACTCCTGGATCCACCCATGTGGCCCAACGCATTGGCCTCAGCATATGACTGAAAGAGGGGAAGCCCAAAGAAACAACCCTTTGAGGCCCAATGCAAACAGCCTACTAGCCTAGCAAGCAACCCATATCCTACACCCTAGTCTACCTAGCTTCCTAGCCAGTAGCCAGCCATCTTTTCTGCTGATATAGAACTCAAAAGTTTTGACATGAAATGGTAGCAGTAGCCAGTAGCAGCAGCAGGCTATTCCTTCCTTCTCTTTTCTTTTTGGCCAACTTCCCATTATCATAATTCGATTCGATTGCAGAAGCAGGGGGGGGAAGAAAATGTAGCCAGAGTTGTAACATCGAGACTCGGCCTACTCATTGTCTAGTCTTTCCAATCCCCTCCCTCCCAAATTCCCAAACAAGTTGAGAAAATCCAATTTTTTTCGAAGAAAGCTGGCCAAAAAGTTACTACCCTTCTTCTTCATCATCATTGCCCTTCCTCGGGATGTTGATTCTCTATTGATACACTTTGTAGCCTTTCATTCTCCCTTGGGCAAAAGATACCCACATCAACCCAATATTCCCAATTGTTGTATGGGGTAGGTAGGTGTCAATGTGGGTTTTGAAGATAGAGAGGTCTTGCAATCTCAATGATCGGATTAAGGGGTCGTTTGGTTTTGGTGAAAGTTTGTTTGGGATAGTTAAAATATATGCAATGTCCACAATACATCGTTTTTCTAAATTTTCTGCGCAAACAATACATGCATTGTTTGCTTGATTTGACACAAACTATCACTCAAAATGAGTGATAGTTAAATCTCGAGTTTTCATTAACGAACAAGGGATTGGTCTAGTGGTAATACCACTAGCCATGAACTTGGAGGTCTCAGGTTCGAGTCCCTTTAGTAGTATCTAATAACAAAAAAGTGACCTATATTACACTTATCTATATAAAAAAAAAGTCTCGAGTTTTCGTTGAGATTGTTTGATGGAGATTATTGTGTTTTCTTCTTCTTCTAAATATGCCCCTACCTTTTTATGTGTGTTGCTTTTTATATTAAAAACAAAGGGTAAAAATAACATTTCACCCAAAAATGATATAATTTATTTAAATACTACAATAACTATCACAGAAACAAAAGATGTAAACTACAATACACCAATTTTCTTATATACATGTATATTATTATGCATGCATTGATGACAATACATCGATTTAACTATCACCAAAACCAAACGACCCCTAAGATTGTTGTGCATCTATCATTTAAGATCGGAGAATTTTATAATTCAATAATGTTTGTCCGTATTTAAGAATTACATTGTTTAGTATAATAACTGGGTTGTTTTTCAACAGGTTTTTATGTATTTTCATATGCAGTGGACTTTCGAAACGGGAATGACTTTTGAGTTTATACTTAGCAATTTCTCCAAAGTTTAAATGTCATTATCAAGAGGTGGTTAAATTAGGTTTTAGTTTTGTTCTCTTTGCTACCAATGAACATAAGCCAATTTGTCAGAGAATTTGTCTTATCAATTATGGACGACATGGAGAATGTCTTTTGTTGGTTCCCGGTGGAGAAATTGGGATTCTATTATCATGGTGTAATTAACTTGAACTTTGTTAATTTGAATTGAAGCTCTTGAATAGTACCACACAATCACATCAACTGGCGAAGTTATTTGAGTTATACAAATAGAATTTTCTTCTTTATGAAAAGTTATTTGTAGATAATCATTTGCACTATGTACAGTCTCGTTCGTTTCATTTACAAAATTTAAATAGTGCTCTCAAATTTGACTCAAACTCTAATCAATCAACGAATCATTGCTTAATCGAACGCTCTGGTGCTCAATTATCATAATGTGTCAAATCCAAATACATTAGGACAATGATCGAGTGGAATACCAATTATTATGCTAAGGTATATCTCACTTGTAAATAGCAAACTCCAATGAACTAAGAAGATGAAAGAAAGTGTTGCTACTTTATTCTCCTAAATCACACAATGCCCCTTATATTCCCCCGTTGTTCCCACCCATAATTCCTCTGTAGCAACAGCATTAGAAATAGAAGAGAATAAGTCCGAGGCCAAGTGGGACTCAATGGCTGGAAAGGAAAGGAAAGAAAGACCAAATTTTTTCTTTTGGGGCCAAAGAAAGAAGGGAACTAATACCAATCTTCTTCTTCACAATTCACGTACGACCCTCAAAAAAGAAAGGGCAAATTTTTTTTAGCCCATTGATTTTGATTCACTTCAACTCTCTCCACTCTTTGGGAACTGATTTTCACATCCGATTCTCCAAACACCCAAGGCCGCCTTTTGATGCTGTGGGATCTCGAAATAATATGAAACATTTGATTTTGTCGGAATGTCCACGATCGGACCCAAAAAGCGTCCGAAGTACAAAACTCAAGTAGATGGTTCATATGATAATAGGGGATAGAGGAATTCCATTACTCATGGTCAATCTGGACGGAGTGTATGTACGATCACTCTTGCGGAACTACCGAAAATACTCAAGGGACTAGAGCTGGTATAAGAAATGCGACATGGGCGAATTGCTATTCTGATTGACTCCGCTATTGCAGTTGTCTGTTCTTTCGACGACAAGAAGAGGTCTACTCTACCTCATGAATGCACGGGGAGGCTAACATCATTGTTGTCACGAGAACACACTATGTTAGCCTTTATGATCAGGATGTCATACATTGGTCATCGACTCATCGTACAATCTATATATCCTAAACAGATTGATCGAAATATGTTGAACTTTAATATTGGGTTTGTGATAAAGATTTATAATTTTATCAAGTTATTATGATCGAGTTATAACTAGCCTTGAATTGATTAGATCGATTCTATCATATTATGAGTTACTACGAACCAAATATGAAATATGTATAGTAGGTAGGCAAATTGGGTAAAAAAGAGTTACCACATCTACCCAAGGTTGTTAAACCCCTATCGGGCCCTCATTGGACTCGGTCCGACCTAAGCCGGACTTCAAAATAGTCTCAAGAAAGCTCCCAGTCTGACCCCTAAGGGAAAAGAAGAGAGAGGAAAGAGAGGAAGTGGAACGAAGCAAGGGAGATGGTCAGTGGCGGATCTAGAAATTTTTAATAGGGGTGTCCTCTTCAAAAAAAAATTAAAATAAAATAAAAAATTCATAAATAAAAAATATCAGACTAGTACAAATTTTAACATAAGGCCACGACGTGTTTTTATATTATGAAATAAAATAAAAAATAGACTTTGTAAATTGCTCAACAAATCTGTATATCCTACTATATAATAAAACAACAAATGAGTTGCAACTTAATGGAGGACAATGTTTAAAAAATATAGTATATCCTAAGTTTGAATAACACATACTATCGCTTTTTTTTTAAGTATACGCAAACTACTACTGAGGATAGGATTATCGTTGTAGGGGTGTCCCGAATCACTAATTATAATTTTTTTATCCATACAAAACTATTGCCGGGGTTGAATAATCGTATTTCCCAAATTTTAGGGGTGTCCCGAGACACCCCTAAACCCTCATGTATCCGCCCCTGGAGATGGTGGGTGTGTCATGGAGGTTAGATAAATTTACTTTGTGGAAAATGAGTTTTTAATAGATACATGTAAGATAAGTTTCATTTTAGTCATTAAATCTTTAATTTCTACCTTATTTGTATATATATTTAGAAAAAGTCTAAAACAACTCAAAAAAGCCGAACCCCAATCAAACCATTAAACTTCAAACCCCTTACTTAACCGGTTCAATGATTTAAACCGGTTTGACAACCTTGCATCTACCGCTATCGATCTGAAGAATGGATGATGAGGACAATGGAAAACTGGCAAATGGCAATTGCCACTGAACAAGGGAAGCCTCTGTATATATGTACAACATGTCATATGCAGGCAAAGCAATTTGACCCACCAGCCATAAACCATAAGCCGTAGAAGAGAACAAAAACTAGAGAGAAAAACAAAAGAGTGGACTTTTCAGCTTACGGCCAAAGGAAGTCAGAAGGGAAAGGTTTGTGTGTCTGGTCTGGGGAAAGACACAGCCTGCCTTCGCCTCTCTGGGCCCATTTTCAATTAATATACAAGGCCCATCTTCCCTTTTTTTTACTACACTAAGCCTCTTTTTCGCCTCTCCGCGAAAGGGACACCATCCACATTGATATCCGTTACAATTTTACATATAGCTCCAAAAGCAAAGGGCTTGGCTTGGAAGAGGGTCAGGTCAGGGATACAAATTTGGGGGAAAGGGACGTGACGCCTTCAAGTTAAACCCCCCAAGTTTAATGTAGTAACTTTGTGAAAGTCGTATGGGATGTTCAACTGATAAGTTAGTGATCCGGGGTTATGGTGCTTACGGTTTCTTTTGCGAGAATGTGCAGATAGAGTTGGGAGTCTTGAAATTAGGTGTTGAATGTTTTTTTATCTGTCGAATGAACGTCGTGGTACTTTATTACAAATTTGTCATCGTGGTCATCCAACGGTTACAGGAGACCCAATGTTTGATCCAATAACTCCCTGCCTCTATGAGCATGTTCTCATAGTCATAAAGTGGGATATGAGCGTAATGGCCGAATTGGATGAGCAGAATAATTCTTAAGTTAATAATAACTACAATGTAATAAAATTATGTTAGTTTTGCTTATAATATCTCATTTGGTCGACATTGACCCGATCATTGTGATCCCATTTGTTTTTTGAAGTGAGATTTGCTCATACCAAACACCTAATCGAGTGGGCATGCTGGACCAACTTGTACACCCACTTAAATAACGCCACATTAGTTAGTATATAAGATTTGAGCATGTTTATTTATTTCTGTCCTAGTTGATCCCGATTCGATATTAGAAGTATATTGATTTTTTCCCAATAACCGAATACTTTTGTCTGTACATACTGCATATTTGATTCCATCCATAAATTGATTTTCTTCCATATGAGTTATAGTCTCAATAAGAATGCTAGTTCTTACTGTTCATATGTTATGATATGAATATATCATACCAATTCGTTATGTATGAATGATGAGATTCCATTGATACAGAGCCCATTCCAATAGACTTATTGGAGAGTCTCATTGGCGTGCATCCAGTAGGAATTGAACCTACGAATTCGCCAATTATGAGTTTTATATATATAAGAACCATTTCATGATCGATTATCTGATCGTGTCATGACATTTACTTCTTTAAAGTGACCATATGTTTGACACACCTTCAACCATTAATTTGGCAATGTAATGTCAATATTTTTGTTACACTCCAGCTTTCTTTTCGCCTATACGATCAATAAGAAAACGGATTTGAGTTACTGAAAATAGGAAACTAGCACCGTACGGTTCGATTTTTCTAATTGGACAAAGCTACTGTAATTTGTAAATACTGATTTCGATGATTACGTTCCCCAAAAGATAAACAAAGACTAATCTCAAAATTCATCCTTTGTAAATGATATCAACAAGTACACCTTTGTCTTTGTAAAAAGCCTGAGAGCCAGCATGACTAGGATTTCTGTCCTGTCCGGCCAATTTAAACGGGTTGATTCTTATTTTCCTACGGACGACCAAACACGTCATGGGTTCAACGTAGCTGGGGGAAAACCTGACACCGTGGCAGATTTAAACAGAGGCAAATTGGAAAAACAAAAAAACAAAAAACAACTATTAGTGACCCCCAGTCTGTCTTTCAAACCCGTCAGAGTCTGGACGCCGTCCGAACCTTCCCCAGTTTCCCTTCCCGATGGACTGGCTCGCCCCCTAGTGGTGGCGTGTTGCCGTTAACTTTGACGATCCTTCTACCCACCTCTCTTTCGCCGTTACTGTACGAAATCTGATTTACCGGGTAAATACCCGAAGTCATTGCCCGCGGATCGTATGTAGGGTCCGACCCGCTACCAAACACGACACACAGACGAAACTGAGAAGGAAATATGCTCGATATGAACCCCATGGGAATTTCCACCGTCCGGTTAAAACTTAAAAGTAACTGGATCCATCGACTAAAGAATTTACCATTGCCTTTCTGGCTCGGTCCCTGCAATTTTTGGGGTTCGTCTCTTGGATCCTTGATTAATTGCAAAGCTATCGTGTATATATTGTATGGTGTTGTCAATTCTAGTTTCAGTCCTATTGGGCCTCAGCATGCGGGATGGAAAATTGACACATTTATTATCACCATCTATCTATTACATCTATTTATGATATGAGTTGGTAAGCCATCAAAAGTTATTATAGATGAACTATGCAAATACAAGAAAATAGATGTGGAGAATAATTTGTAGTTTTGGAGAATTTCAAGTTGCAGAAATCAAGTGAACAAGGAAGAGATGAAACAACAGTGGAACTTCACGAAGTTGACATAGTTCAAGTGTAATTAAACTCCGATGATAATAATTTTCAAGGTAACGGTATGAGCTGCGGATTGCAAATGCTTATTCAAGATGTCTAGGGTGATCCGTCGAGACGACAATGGAGAGTTGAAAATGGAGCTGGCTAGTTGATGTTATTGATGCTTGTCCTTCACTTCTGGATTTATGACTAGCTAGGAATAAAGAGGCTTTACAAATTTATATTAATCATAACAGTGTGATATCTCGTTACGAGCAATTGAGATGAAAACTCAATTGGAAGCCCATAAACTGATGAACAACAACTTCTACTAGTTCATGTGTCCTACTCAACAACTTAATATCATCACCTTAGTGTGTATATATATTTATGATCTATTTATCATATTGGTACACATTGGTACTTAACCATAAAATTTCCATGTAAATTAAAAGAGGACTGAAATGTTGCCAAACTATATCTCTAGTGACTAATTGTCTACATATCCAAAATTAAATCATTCAAAAAAAGCTTATACTGCGAGTCATCGATTCTGTTTTGTTTTTTCCCCCACTTTCTCCCTACTTATTATAGCCTCTGCAATTGCACGGACGCTATCTTTGCTCTGTAAGACTGTAACAGCATCACCCACACCAGTACTACTCCATAAACAAACTGTGAACGCCATACTCAAACAAACTTCAACGAGAACGGAAAAACAAACGCAACACAGAAGAACGCGAAAATGAGGAACTCACTGTTCTTCCTTCTTCTCCTCCTCCTCCTGTTCACTGCTTGCTATGGCCAGAGCAACGACCTCGAAGTACTCTTGAAGCTCAAATCCGCCATGACCGGACCAAAAGGCACCGGCCTCGACGACTGGCAGCCTCCGCCCCCGCCGCCATCGATTCGCTCGCCCTCCGCTCACTGCTCATTCTCCGGCGTCACATGCGACGGGGAATCCCGCGTCGTCTCTCTCAACGTCTCGTTTCACCGCCTGTTTGGTTCAATTCCGCCGGAGATCGGAGAGCTGGACCGGCTCGTGAATCTCACCATTGCTTCCGATAACCTAACCGGCAGACTTCCACCGGAGATGTCCAAGCTCGCCTCTCTCAGAACGCTCAACGTCTCGAACAACAATTTCTCCGGAGATTTCCCAGGGGAGATCGTTCTAGGGATGCCTCTGCTCCAGATCCTCGACGTCTACAACAACAATTTCTCTGGCCCGCTGCCGAAGGAGGTCGCGAGGTTGAAGAATCTAGTGCATCTCCATCTCGGCGGGAACTACTTCTCCGGCACGATTCCGGAGACTTACGGCGAGATTCGGAGCCTGGACTACTTGGGGCTGAACGGCAACGGCCTCTCCGGTGAGGTTCCGGCGAGCTTGGCGAAGTTGAAGAGGCTGAGGAGCCTCTACCTCGGTTATTTCAACGTGTACGAAGGGGGAATCCCGCCGGCGTTTGGCTTGCTGAGCAATCTTGAAGTTCTGGACATGGCGAACTGCAATCTCAGCGGCGAGATTCCGAGTAGCTTGAGCCGATTGACCCGGCTCAACAGTCTGTTCCTCCAGTTCAACCATTTATCAGGTCACATTCCTCCGGAATTCTCCTCTCTAGTGAACTTGGAATCGCTCGATCTCTCTATCAACGAGCTCACCGGGGAGATCCCGTTGGGTTTCGTCTCTTTGACGAAGATCACCCTGATCAATGCGTTCAAGAACAATCTGTACGGTCCGATCCCAGAGTTCATCGGCGATTTCCCTAAACTCGAGGTGTTTCAGCTTTGGGGAAACAATTTCACTCTCGAGCTGCCGGAGAATCTCGGCCGGAACGGCAAGCTGAAGCTGCTCGACGTTTCGTTCAATCACCTCACCGGTTCAATCCCTAGGGATTTATGCAAGGGAGGGAAATTGGAAACCCTAATTTTAATGAACAATTTCTTCATCGGTCCTCTTCCAGAGCAGCTCGGCGATTGCCATTCACTGAAGAAGATCCGCATCGTGAATAACCTCCTCAGCGGGCCGATTCCCGCCGGCATCTTCAGTTCCCCTGCAGTCACCGTCCTCGAATTCAGCAACAACTACTTCTCCGGCGAACTTCCATCTGAAATGTCTGCCCCGCAGCTCGGCCTTCTCACGGTCTCCAACAACCGGATTGAAGGCGGAATCCCTCCAGCCATCGGCAACTTGGCGAACTTGCAGATTCTGCAACTCGATACCAACAGATTGTCCGGCGAAATTCCGACTCAGGTTTTCAATCTCCGCCACCTCTCCAAGATCAATGTCAGCGCCAACAACCTCACAGGTGAAATCCCGGCCTCAATTTCTCGCTCCTCGTCACTTACCTCGGCCGATTTCAGCCGGAACCAGCTCTCCGGCGAGATTCCAAAGGGGATTATTGAGCTCAAAGATTTGAGCATTCTGAACATCTCCCGCAATCAACTCACCGGTCAAATTCTCGGCGATATAAGGTACATGACCAGCCTCACGACTCTTGATCTCTCCTACAACAAATTGTGGGGTAGGATCCCTACGGGAGGACAGTTCCTTGTGTTTAAGGACACTGCCTTCATCGGCAACCCGAATCTCTGTTTCCCTCACCAAGTCTCCTGCCCATCCTTCCCCGATTCAGCTCAATCCTCCACCCGCCATACGCCGTCGTTTACCCCCACCAAGGCCATACTCACCGTCATCGCAGCTTCAACATTACTAATCCTAATCACGGTGACAATCTTCATCCTCCGGAAGCGGAAGCTCCGTCAATCACTGGCATGGAAGCTCACCACATTCCAACGCCTCGATTTCAAAGCAGAGGACGTCCTCGAGTGCTTGAAAGAAGAGAACATCATTGGCAAAGGCGGCGCAGGGATCGTCTACCGCGGCTCCATGCCTGACGGCGTCGACGTGGCGATCAAACGCCTCGTCGGCCGCGGAACCGGCCGGAGCGACCACGGATTCTCCGCCGAGATTCAGACCCTGGGTAGGATCCGGCACCGGTACATCGTTCAATTGCTCGGCTACGTGTCGAACAAGGACACGAACTTGCTCCTCTACGAGTACATGCCGAACGGGAGCTTGGGCGAGCTGCTCCATGGATCCAAAGGTGGGCATTTGCAGTGGCAGACAAGGTACAGAATCGCCGTCGAGGCTGCCAAGGGGCTTTGCTACTTACACCACGATTGTTCTCCATTGATCATCCATCGAGACGTGAAGTCGAACAACATATTACTGGATTCCGACTTCGAGGCACACGTCGCCGATTTTGGACTGGCAAAGGTCCTGCAAGAAGCCGGCGCTTCCGAGTGTATGTCCTCCGTCGCCGGCTCTTACGGCTACATCGCACCAGGTAAATCCCTAATTGGGCCGCTTCTTGTAAAAGCCCATTTTTTTATTGGGCCTTGTCTAACTCTTCTTTGTCGGAACAGAGTATGCATATACCTTGAAGGTGGACGAGAAGAGTGATGTGTATAGCTTCGGTGTTGTGCTATTGGAGCTAATAGCCGGGAGGAAGCCGGTGGGGGAATTCGGCGATGGCGTCGACATAGTGAGGTGGGTGAGGAAGACGACGTCGGAGCTTGCTCAGCCGTCCAATGCAGCCTCGGTGTTGGCGGTGATCGATCCTAGGTTGACTGGGTATCCATTGTTGGGTGTGGTTCATCTGTTTAAGATAGCTATGATGTGTGTGGAGGATGAGAGCTCGGCCAGGCCGACGATGAGGGAAGTCGTTCACATGGTCACTAATCCGCCGCAATCCTCCCCGGACTTGGTTACGCTATGAAGTTATATTATGGTTTGGAGACTATGAAGTTTGTAGAGTTGATGTAGTAATAAAGCCTTTTTTTTGTGTTATGGATTTGTGGGTCAGGCTTAAAAAAAAAGGGTGTTTGTGTGTTAGCTTTTGGTTAGTAGGATGTGTTAAGGTGTGCCCATGGTTGTAAATAAAGGTTTCCTTCATTTTAGCTTGGTGAAAAATCTTCATCTTATTCCCAACCTGGAAGAAACAAATACAGGATAACAGGAACCTAGAAGAGAGAAAGGTAAAAATCACTGTAAGTCTATAATAAATGGGATTTGTTTTCTCTAGGGATGTAAAGGGTAATACCTATCCCTCACATGTGGTAATATATATGTCGATTTAAGGTGGGGTGGGCTGATTCATTATCAAATATTAATTTGAGAAATATAAAAGCAATTTTTTTATAATTAAGAAAAAGAAAACATTTTATTAATGACAAATAGTGATAATAGAATGAATTATTGAGTTTACATAATTGAAAGATCTAATTCTTATACTTATTTAGAGTTTTATTGGGTGAAAGTAGGATTGAAATAAAAATAATACAAACATGTATTAAAGAAAAATGAGATAGGGCGGTTGAAGAATGAAACGGGACGGGAGGGGACGAGATAGATCGATAATATTCAGTTATCCACCTCAGACCCCAGTGCAGGTTAGATCCAGTAATAATCAATTAGGCGGGTTCAAATTGTAGTTTTTTTTCTTCTAAATGTGGCCAGGCCATTGGATTCCCGTTACGTGGCCAATCACAAATTGAAAATCAAGTTGTTCTTTTTTAAAAATGCGAAAAGTGACCATTGAATAATATAATCATCGATTGTCATATAATTTTTCTCGAATTTGATCCCACTCTACATTCCCATATAATCCATCCACACTTTTTTTGAATAATTATTTGCATTATTCAAAAAGATAGAAATTAAGGACCTAAAAAGCAAACTTAGAAAGGGGTCACTGCAATTTCATTCCAGTTTCCACACATAGAATTCATTCAACAAGAATTCTCATCTCATATCTATTCTAACACAAAGATTAGATAATTCAGTTTCTTTCTCAACTCGAGCTATGAACTTATTAAACCATTCAAGAAACTAGACTTCGTGCCTATGAAGAAAACCATAATTTCTCGTTGTAGTCATCAATGAGAGTAAAAATTTATCTTCTTATCCCTATTGGAAATTGGAGTATTGGAGCCACATAAGTATGCATGAACAAGTTGAAATTTGTGGTCTATGACACACTGTTGCTTATTTCACAGACATACTCGATCACTAATTGAAAACAGCGTCGCTCCGCCAACAACAAACCTCATTTGAATCGGTTCTTGGCACCCTCCTCTCTAATCCTAATGCAACAAGGATTACTTCCTAACATATTATGTTCCCACCACAAAGATTACATGATCACTCTTAATTTCTACGGCTCATTCAGGAAAATTTTCGTAGACTTTGCAAATCCACTCCAGACAAGGAAGATTCAAGCCACTTTCAAAACCTTTTTTTTTTTTCCAAGCTTCATCCCGATTATGCTAACCCGACTGCCATCTCCGAGGCCATGCTATGAGGATTTCAATCAAATCCAAAAAAGGAACATTCAGAATCGGAGCCAATTCTTCATCAGTCGACTTCCAACATTTAAAGCGTTATGACTCTCCCCATAAAAATATTTGACTTTAGGTTGAATTTTTATTCTACACAGCTTTGTCCACAAACCTAATCAATTGTGGTGTGGTAAACTGGTAATGCTTGTGTCTATTGGGCATTGGCCCTGGAAAGATGGAGTTTCCTATACAGTTTACATCCAGTTTTACTTTTACCGTGGGCTAACCTTTTGGATTAGGTCACGAGATCGTCTCGTCTCTCGTGTTGCTTTGAAGATTTTTACAAATGGATTTTGGAAATGTAGCTATATATGGTCTTCTTCTGAGAATAAGGTGTGAATCATGTCAAATAGCAAACTGACAAAGAAGAAGAAGATGGTCAGTCAAGAGGTCAAAGGAGGTGATCTTGTTGTGGAAAACAAAAATATTTGGTGGAAAGGTTGAGGGAGGCAGTCATATTAGTTACAAATATATTGTTCTATACTCCCTTCTATTACAACTATATATTTTTTCACTAGGATAGAGAAAGTGAAAAATTGGAATAATCACATAATACTTGAGAAGAAAGTAGAGGAAAAAAAATTATCTCAATAAAATGAGAATATACACCGAGAATATCTAAAAGTTTCTCTATTAGGTAGATAATGAACTTCGTCAAGTACTAATAGTTCCTCAAAAAACTACAGGAAGTACATCGTAAACCATTGAAACTGCAACATTTTCTACTATATACAATGAGGAGCCACCGTCAAAGTAGTGAAATTGTATTTTTGTGATAATTTTTCAATGAATCGGATAACATTCAAAAAGAGTAAATCAACACCATACAATTATTACATATTTCGTAATAATAAACTATATCTATAAAAAAAAAATTCTACATAAATGTCAGAAAAGCTCATCAAATAGCCATTTTCCTACAAAAATTGTGTCCTCAATTTCCTCACATCAACACATCTAGGATTGGTAAACGGTTATCATGTTAACATTGTAACCGATTATCAAATCGAAATGGATGGTTAATGACTTAATGGTGACATTGATAACTGATTAAACTGTAAACAGTCAGCTTTCGATAGCCAATTTTAGCTAATTACTAACCGACGGTTAAACGATTAGTAACGATGGTTAAATGGTTAACCTAGTAACTGATTACGACCATCCTCATAGTTACAGTAAAAAATAATAGGCATCGAGGAGCCACATGCATAGGCTGAAAATTATGGGATATTTGAAGGCCTAAAAGACCTACCCTAGTTGTAATAGTGATTTAGATTCAAACGTGAATGATTTCAATTTTCAAGGAAGAGTCTTAAAAGGAGCACAGTAGAAAGTTGGACTAAACACAGTAGCTCGACAACAATCACTAACATTTAAGCTTCCATGTAATTTGGTGGAGTTTATGAGTTGAGTACGTTGTTGTCGTTGGGTCTCTTATTCTTGTCTGTTTCTTTAATCAAATTCGTAGGTAGAATAGTGTTATTGTATACTCGTGTTGGATTGTGTTGATTATGGATTGACGACATCTATGTTAACTTATTTTTTTAAACAAATTAGAAAAACATACGTATGTAAGGAAAAAATCTTTAAAAAAATGCACAATTGAAAAAAGGAGGAGGTCTTTTGTTGGTTAGGTTACCGATTGGTTATTTTGGTATAATCTTGTCAAATCACTTGCTTTCGGTCGAGTACTGATTATATAATTATGGTTAACCGACTAATATAAATGATGTGGTTAACGACAAACAGAAAGGACAAAACGATTAAACGAGAAGGGATTGAATGATTCCGATTATAACCGGACGACCCGATTATCAACCCTAATCACATGTCAAAACTACTACGGCTTAGAAAATTCTTTATTATAGATATATATTCGAGCCCCCGTCCCTTCCTTCCCTACTCACTCTTATCTTTTTTTTTCCGGTGAATCATTTGTTTTGTATTACCAAACTATATGCATTGTACATATAGGAACCAATACAACGAAAGGAAAGCTCGAGGTGAGCATCCCTGTGAAACAATGAAACTCCCAAAACTCCCCACATTCCTACACCGGCAGACCCACGTCAACTAATAAGGCCAACAATACTAATATCTGACTGCAGACTACCACTTGCACTACCAAGATACAATAAATCAGAGAGAATCAATAGACTAATAATAGCAGCATCCCTGGGTGGTGATTGATGTTGTCTATTACACCGCCCGCGCCACACATAGGCGATACACGTGCACCAAAAAAGTCCATCAACCCTCCCAGCTGGTGTCTTCTCGCTACATAAAGCAACTGCAGCATTCACAGTGTCATGACAACTCGATCTGCAGAACTGGTGGACATCTCTCCAACAAGTAACCACCTGCATTGAGAAACTACACTGAAAAAACAAATGCTCCTTGGTTTCAATAGAGGAGTGGCATAGCAAACAAGATCCATTTTCTATCCTTACCCACTTTAACAATTTATCTCGAGTGACATTGCCATCAAGCAAGACGAGCCATGCAAGAAAACTTTTATTAGGTAGGTAGCATTTCCCCCAGACCAGGCCAATCCACTTCCTGGTATCTTGCTCTCAAAGTATTCCAAACTGTAGACACTCTATACACATGCATCAACTTTCCATCCCAAAAAGGTGTAGTACCAGACATCGTCAAATGAGCTAGAAGTAGAGACCTAACTTTCAGAACTCTTCGCCATGCCCACGAGCTACTAGGACTAATACTCATAGTCCAAAGCAGTGTAGTCAAAATCGCGTTTTAAAGCGTAAAATCGTACGATTTTACGCTTATAGGGTAGGAAAACGTTTCAAATCACCAATAAAATCGTTTGTTACTCAAAATCGATCAAAAGCGTAGTAAAATCGGTAAAATCGGTAGAAACGGTTAAAAACACGTTTTTATACCGCTTTTGTACGATTCCAAGCAAAGGAGCAAAATAGTCTCCTTTCATCCAAACGACGTCGTTTTTGAATTTTTATTAAAAAAAAAAAAAAATTTGGGTCGGGAGAAGGGGTTACGCTGCTGAACCCTAATCCTTCTCCATTCTCCACCGCCGCACAGCCACCCTTCTCCTCATCTCCCTCCCTTCTCCTCGCCTTCGTCAATCGTCACCATTCTCCACCGCCGCACAGCCACCCTTCTCCTCGCCTTCGTCAATCGTCAGTCGTCACCTCCGTCGCCCGTCGCCCGTCGCCCACTCGGCCGCCGCCACTTGCCAACGACCGCGGCCCGTGGACATCGGCCGCCGCCCGCCGCCCTCGTCAACCGCAAGTCCACGGCGCCCCGTCGCCCGGCGCCGCCCTGTGCCCCTGTCCATAGCTCGCCGCCTCGCCGTCTTCAGACTCTTCACCCGCCGGTTTATCTCTTCTCTTGGTAAGAGGTTTATCTCTTTTCTTGTTATTCAATTTGCAATCTAAAATGGAATCTGCTTAGTTAAAATTCCAATTTTCTCGTTATTCAATTACACTAGTAGATGATAACACACAATTCCATTTAGTTAAAACTTCCAAAGGCAGCCTGTAATTAAGCACTACATCTGCTTCCTAATGTGATGTCACATACAGATTTAGAGGTTGGTGGTGAGGAAGGTGGTCATACTATTGAAGGTGGTGGTGATGCTATTGGTGTTGATGCTCGAAGAGATGAGGAGGATCATGAATATAGTAGTCCACTTGATGTTGATGGCAATG